ATGGCCTATGCTCCACTAGGGGCTAGAAAGGCAGAAGAAGAAGATTTGACATGGGTTCCAGAATTCCACGGCCATTAGTTTCTTCTAAGCGTAACAATTTATTGCCCCTGTTTCAAAGTAGAGAACATATTTTCTTCTTTGTGCAAACAAATTCTTCGCGTTTTTCGCCACCCTAATTACCAGAAGCTCGTTTTGCTAAGTAAGTTTTCCATTCTACAATGACTACTTATGTCACAACGATTTTTGTTCTATCTAAACATTGCATATTCAATCGGATGTTTTAACAGATAGGAAGAGAAAGGTTTTTTTTTTTTTAACTGTTCCAAGTTAGCTGTACCTACTCACCGGTTTCAGAATGTTCTAATTTGCTCACGGCTTACATGCGGCACTGGGTAATTTTTTCTTTTTTGTGTGAATGTGATTATAATTGGTGATTTCCTGGAAGTGAATTGTAACCTCACTTTCTCACTGGGGTTGTAGAGGAGGAGGATCCACACGTTGTGCTGAGCCTGGACCAAGGTACACGCTGGTCAAGCGTATACACATCTCTCTGTGGTCAGTTTGGAAGCAGGTTTCTCTAACTGGGATTCTGATCAACTTAGATTGGATTGACGTTTCCTTAGAGATCAGAGTAAATCTACCTAAGAGACAATGGTCCAACAGTCGGCACACTAATAATCCAGATCTGTAAAACCGGTGTGCATACAACACTTTAGTAAAGGAACAAAATTAAGTCTAGAAGTAAACGAAGAACAAGAACGTTCCGCGGGAGTTGACAGCCGTTGAAAGCTAAGAAGAATAATACGTTTCTCAACCCGAACAACAATAAACATCGTGGCACACGGGTAGTAACCCATAAGTGCTCCGTCCTATTTCTCACTCAAGCCTGAGTCAGAAGAATCTCAGCGCAGTGCGGTAACTCCGTAATACCGGCGAGGATCCTGAAATACTTTGGGTAGATTTTCAAAAAAATCCCAGCCCAAACCCGAGACCTCTAGCATCTAAGGCGGACGACGTGCCTCGAGGCCACGAAGACATCCGAAATAGTACTTATTACTGTACAATAGTAACATACACTGAAGGATTTAGATCCTGTTAATTGTCTAAAGCTCAAATGACAGCATCTGGGACCACAGACAGAGAAGATAAAAATATATCTGAATTAGTAATATAAGGATATGATGAACAGAGATTGTAGCTGGTATCACCGAGTGTATACACGCGCCCTACGATGAAGAAATGAAGCTACTCTTTTTCGATTTACAACTGGCAAGGGATATTTCACTTGGGCAACAATGCACACGCCGATCTCACTACCCAGAGACCAAGGTGAATTATTATAAGTCCAAGTCCTCGTGAAAAAAAAAATTCCAGCCCTTACAGGGTATTGAACCTAGCACTCTATGCGGACACCATGCCTCGAGACCACGCTGCCCCCTGTGGTCTTTACAAATACTGCCCAACCGTTGTGTTTTAAAGAAGAGAAAACTGCATCTTTTGGTCTTTACCTAAAAGGGGAGATAGTCTACTTCCTTCACAAGGTTTTAATGCTAAAGGGCACGAACCAGCGGCTACCACATCTCCTGCAGCTTCTTTCATTTTATTTGCTCGTGAGTCCCAGCCATCTAGTTTAGCCCAGCTCCACGTCGTGCGTAGCAGCGTCGGAGATACTCTTGGCGGTATTCGCCGGAAGTTTGCAATTTAAGTCGCCGGAATTCCGCATTTTACGTGTGACTGAGGCCCTGTCAGGGTGTGTTTTAGACCGCCATAATATGTGCCCGTTATTCGGAGGATAGTCCCAATTGGATACGCAGGCTTTTCTTAGACTTGTCCCTTGCAGACAATCTTGCAGACATCATTTGTACTTTTTTTTTTTTGATTTAAAGCACGTTATGTTCATATAGCACAAGAATACATACTTTCCGTATAGATTCCCAGACCCATTCTTGTAGGGAGGGGGATGGGGAGGGGGTGGAAGGGGAGGGGAGGGGTGGGGGTCGACCCACTGCTTACATAACAAATATGTCGTAGAAGGCGTCTAATTAAAAGTGTTTCCTTCGAAGTCGGAGCGCACGCTCCTGAGAGGACAGGAACCAACGGCTTGCATACAGATAAGCCAGCTCTGTTAATTTGAGCTCTTGCACGCATAACACAAATTCTGGAACAAGATCAAAGTCCAGAAGTGGATGAACAACCTTAACTCTCCGTGGGAGTTTAAAACCGGTGAACGATAATAAAAAAGAATCAGAATAGGGGTAGCAATGATTAATGCGTTGCGTGACTATTATTCTGCTTATCGCTATATGTTTACGCGACACACCTTTACACCGCAGCCGACAAACAACGGTGTCTCCACACACACAGAAAAGCTCTGCTCTATATAGCACCCGCTTTGAATTATCTTATTCTCTCAGGGAGTTAATGAATCCACTGGAGTAACATGCGACTGAATCATCCATCAATGGATAATAACATGAACGTTGCATAACCAACCGATTGGAACAAATTTCGCTTCTGTGTGGAAAAACAATGTTAGCCGGAAATTCCATTTACATCGGATTTGTTAATTTTCCATTTAACTTCGTTTGTACAATTTTTTTTAAAATTTAACGTCCTCCCACTTACGATTCCTATATTATTATTAGATCTTTCAATGTTTTACATAGATTACATTTATAAAAAGTTACTGTCTGCACATAGGAAACAGTATTGTAAATTTTTATTTTTCACAAATCTTCGTCTTATAAGGGATCTGCGTGGTCTCGAGGCATGGTATCCACGTCCAGTTCTAGAGGTTTCGGGTTCAATCCCTGGTAAGGGCTGGGATTTTTCACGTGGACTTCTAGTAATTACCTCTGGTCTCTGGGTAGTGAGATCGGACGCCCGTGTGCATTGTTGCTGACGTAAAATAATCTCTTGGCAGTTGTAAATCGAAAAAAAGAGTATCCTAATGGCGCTGACAAGGAAAGCTGGATTTAAAAATCTTTCCAAAGTATTTCAGGATCCTCGCCGGTGCTACAGAGCCTGAAGCTCTGTGCTGAGCTTCTTCAGACTGAGACTTGAGTTACAAGAAAGAACGGAGCACTTATGGGTAACTACCCGTGTGCCATGATGTTGATCCATTGTTCATATTTCAAACGTCTTGCAGTCCACGCAGTGTGGCATTATAAGTCATGTCGATCTACAACGCTGTGTCTCGTCTGCTTTCAATTCAGCTCTGACGCCGATGACCCTCCATGTCATGATTTCAGACTGTCTATATACTGTTTTACACGTTTACTGTTGACACATACTAAAAACAAACGTTACTGTTTTACACGTTTACTGTTGACACATACTAAAAACAAACGTTACTGTTTTACACGTTTACTGTTGACACATACTAAAAACAAACGTTACTGTTTTACACGTTTACTGTTGACACATACCAAAAACAAACGTTACTGTTTTACACGTTTACTGTTGACACATACTAAAAACAAACGTTACTGTTTTACACGTTTACTGTTGACACATACTAAAAACAAACGTTACTGTTTTACACACGTTTTACTGTTGACACATACATAAAAAAAAAAAACGTTACTGTTTTTACACGTTTTCTGTTGACACATACTAAAAACAAACGTTACTGTTTTACACGTTTACTGTTGACACATACTAAAAACAAACGTTACTGTTTTACACGTTTACTGTTGACACATACTAAAAACAAACGTTACTGTTTTACACGTTTACTGTTGACACATACTAAAAACAAACGTTACTGTTTTACACGTTTACTGCTGGATTTCAGACTGTCTATATACTGTTTTACACGTTTACTGTTGACACATACTAAAAACAAACGTTACTGTTTTACACGTTTACTGTTGACACATACTAAAAACAAACGTTACTGTTTTACACGTTTACTGTTGACACATACTAAAAACAAACGTTACTGTTTTACACGTTTACTGTTGACACATACTAAAAACAAACGTTACTGTTTTACACGTTTTCTGTTGACACATACTAAAAGCAAACGTTACTGTTTTACACGTTTACTGTTGACACATACTAAAAACAAACGCTACTGTTTTACACGTTTACTGTTGACACATACTAAAAACAAACGTTACTGATTTACACGTTTACTGTTGATACATACCAAAAACAAACGTTACTGTTTTACATGTTTCTACCACCACCGCCACTACTACCACCACTGTCAGCACTACCACTATTACACTACCATTGGTGGTGTTTGTGGTTATGGTAGTAATGCTGCTCGTGTGGGTTCAGGGCACGAGTATGAGGGGGGGGGGGGGGGGATAGAGCCACTGCTTCCTAAAAAGCATGTCGTAGGAGCCGATTAATTACGGGTTTCCTTAGAAGTCGGAGCGATCTGCTTGACACCACAGCTTTCATACAGATAAGCCAGCTCCGTAAAACATATTTGTATGCAAAAACTAAGGTTCTAGAACAGGACTAAAGTAAGAAATGGACGAACAACCACAGCTTTTCGCCGGAGTTTACAGCCAATGAACGCTAAGAAGCTGTTGCTACTACTGTTGCTACTAGTGTTCCTACTAATGTTGCTACTAGTTTTGCTACTACTGTTGCTACTACTGTTCCTACTAATGTTGCTACTACTGTTGCTGCTATTGTTGCTACTAATGTTGCTAGTACTGTTGCTACTAATGTTGCTAGTACTGTTCCTACTAATGTTGTTACTACTGTTGCTGCTATTGTTGCTACTAATGTTGCTACTACTGTTCCTACTAATGTTGCTACTACTGTTCCTACTATTGTTGCTACTAATGTTGCTACTACTGTTCCTACTAATGTTGCTACTGATGTTGCTACTACTGTTCCTACTATTGTTGCTACTACTGTTGCTACTAATGTTGCTACTACTGTTGCTACTAATGTTGCTACTACTGTTGCTGCTATTGTTGCTACTAATGTTGCTAGTACTGTTGCTACTACTTTTTTTTTAAAAATAATCTATCTAGAACGTATCAGTTGTAGTCTCCGTGCTGACCTTGACAAGCATCTCTATCGAGCGGTGGTTCGCCATCTGTAAACCTTTGACCTTCCAACAGACCAAGGCCAGGGTCGTAGCGTGTGTGGTCATCATCTGGCTGGTGGCCAGTCTGACCTCGATGCCCCGGCTGTTTATGATGGAGGCGAGTGGCAGTTGCATGTTGTGTTGTCTGTCAACCATTATAATCCACACCACCACAATGATCATCATCATCATCATCATCATCGTCGTCTTCATCATCATCATCATCATCATCATCATCATCGTCTTCGAACTCAATTTCACCGTCATCACCATTATCAAGGTTTTACACGAGATCCTGCTGTAAGTTTTGTCGATTGGTTATGTGGTCTGTTCCTTTCCCTTACCATTAAGGGTGTTTACTGTCGGAGGTCGTGGGTTTGATCCCTGCAATTTGTTTTGACCTTGACTCCCAGGTCGTTGAATACGGACATTATACTGACATCACCCATCTTGTGCCAATTGTTCCTTTAAAATTTAGCTCTAGCCCTATATGCCATACGCCTAGGCGTGGAAAAGGGTCCTCAAAGCCCACTCTAGGTAATACTTGAGACGGTCTTGGGTGGATCAAACCGGGAGACAAGGTCAGTTCTAAAAAAAAAAAAAAAACCTGACATGTAGATACTAAACACATAGAGAGTGATCGGTCATTGCCGACATTAGAAAGTTGCTGTCAACCACTGTCTCATGATCGTGCTTTTGCCTTTTAGCTAAAAAGAAACTGTGTCAGTCAGATTGCGATCGAAACAGCTAGGCCTTTTTTTATTGTTAAAAAGAAACTGTCAGATTGCGATCGCAACAGCTAGGCCTTTTTTTTAAATTTATGTTAACCAACACCATTGTTTGTGGTTAAAAAACAAATGTCGCAGACATAAAAAAAAGTAAAGTTCCCTTTTCACGCCTTTCGGCGCATCGGGCATATGGGTAGAGCGTCCCATATTTTTACAGACAATCAGGACTCCGTCAAAATGCCAGCAGTATGCTTTACACAGCCATATTGCTGGGTATCGAGGCCATACCACCACAAATCCAAGCCTGCAGTGGGTTTCGATCAACGAGTCGGACACCATTTCCTGATTGTGTAGTTAAAAACACAAGTTATCGCAGACATACACAAAGACATATCTGCATTTAATCCAATGCTCACAGAGTCGCACTAAACACATAGCTTAGTAATTGGAGAATGGAATCATGTTTGTGTTATGTAGAACAACTATGATGTTTTGTATATTTTTAGGATTGTTTATTTCCAAGACTTTACAGGAGATCCATGACGATATGTTCCCGCCGAACGTGACTATCTTGCTGACAACGTGCGCTCCGCGAGACGTGGCAGAGGCTCGACAGTACGAGATCTTCCTGATTGTTGCTTTCTTTGCCTTCCCAAGCGTGGTCATGGGCTACAACTACACAGCTATAGCCTTCTGTTTGTGGTCTAGTTCCAAAGCTTCCAAACACCTGACAGGTATCTTATGTCCACATCTGTTTATATTGAATACTTAGGATTCTATACCGACCATGACACTTAAGTACTTGCTTTCGCTGTATCCGTTGCATGAATGAATGTCTAATTTAATATGACATGGATACTTGGCTAGTACAAAAGTTGTGTGGTTGAGTATTGATTGCTGGAACAGTAGTTATGTAGTGTTATATAGGGATTAATGGTTATTACATTGTTGTGTGGTAAACACAAATATAAATGATTCAATTCACTGCTTTATAGACGACATTTCAGTTAGGTTGGGCAGAAAAATTAAATAATAACAACATGAATGATAGTGACGATGGTGATAATAATAAGGATTCATGGACTCGAACTCAGTAAAGTATTTTTGAAAATCCATAAAGAAAAAAAAAAAAAAAAAGAAAAAAAAAAAAAATCAAAAAAAAAAAAAAAAAATCAAAGCATTTTAATTTAAAATGTGGCAGAGAAATTGTTAGAATTACATGGACCTAGAAGAAGAAAAACACTGACATCCTACAGATCTGAACATCAGCGAAAACTGTCTGGTAAATAGCATCCTATCACGAAAGCTGTGATATTTTTGTCACGTAACAAATATGGGTGCTTGAAGAGAGCGGTAATGAACGGTACTGTTTCTGAACAAAGAGGCTAAGGTTCTCATCCGTGAAAGTGGGAACAAAGCATTTAACATGCAGTGGTTATGAAGGCACATAGGGCTAGAGAACTGACCAGAGAAAAAGACTTTTCAGCGCACCGAACGAGAGCGATGTCCTGTTAAGAAACCTGTTGAATGATGATGATATCATTAAAAATAAATATTTAAATAACAGAACTCTTCAACTTGAGATGCAGTCCGTTCTGCGATTTCAATATAATTAAAAAAACAGCTATAATGAGTTCTTAAGTAAGGCTAATAATTAGGGAAAATAATGAGTCATTTTTACTCGTCAGAGCATCTCCTTTTACCCTTTGAGTGTTTCTTTATATATGAGTTTCCCCTGACCAGGCTAAAACCCCAGAAAGCGCCGCCACTGACTTTCAAAGCACTTTCCTTGAAAAACCCTGGTCTTAGAGGTTTTTTTTATTATATAGTCACGCGCCGTCACTGACACACCCCACCACTCAACTATTGCAATGCCCGACCCGCCAGAGCGCCCCTATTGACCTCTTAACCCTAGTATCGATTTTCATATTTACTATTTACGAGTCACGAGCCTCCAGAGTGTCTCAAGTGCGCCCCTATATAAAAGTCCCACGCCGACTATACAAGGCCATTGCTCCTTCGGTAAAAAATGACTCAATACTTACCTACTATACTACTGTCGTGCGATTTTTTAAGGCTCCAAACTTTGGGTGGGAAGAATTATTTCTTTTTATGATAGGCTAAAAAATGTGGTCATGACAATCTTTGGCATCAAGCACTGTCAATAATTACCAAAACTGATCTCTTTCTATCTCATCATATCAAACGTCCAGCTTTTCTCTTTGCTCTTTTGTTGCTCTTACCCCGCCCTTTGGGAACATGCAACGGAATCGGTAGAGAGACAAGATTATTGTCGCCTAGAGAGAATGAGGCACCTGGGTGAAACCAGAGGGTCTGGCCGGCTCAAGACACTCAGGGGAAAGGCAAGACGAACATATAACCAGATTGTGACCTGTACCATCAGTAATGGAACTCTGCCGTGGCAACTGAAGACCAGGACGGAGCACGCATGGGAATGCCTCAAGTGCTGTGATATAAACTCTTGACTCAACTTAACTCAACTCAACTCAGCTCGCTTTTTCCCTAGCATTTTCCCTTCTTACTGTTTACTTTAGTACACGACATGCCAAAAGAACACAGACTGCTGACTGCTAAATTTTTTCCCCCTTCAAAACATGACCTAGGATCTCAGGTCGACCCAGCTTTGAGTGGGTACTAAGTATAGTCATGGGAAGTAAAGGCGGCCAGCGTGATAACATGACCCACTAAGTGCCGTTTGGTCTATAAAATATGTCTAGCCCTATATACCCAATACTCCTGACGGCGTAGAAAAGGGTCCTTTACTTTACACAACTTGAATAGAAGTGGCGGTAGACAAAGTTATGTTGGGAAAAATATGAACCCTAATCCGTACCCCTCAATTCCCCCATTATATATCTAGATGTTCTCTTTTTAAGTTTTAACCAAAAAATACACTTAATATTTTTTTTCAGTATATCATTATAAGTATTTTGCTCTTCAGCCCATTATCATTCATCCACAAAAAAAAAAAAAAAAAATGCATCATCATTAAGCTCTCACACATCGCTAAGCTGCTCTAGGCCCCTATTTCTCCCCAAAGGGAAGATAGGGGTCCGTGCCAAAAAGTTATCTTTGTGTTGACCTCCCTGAGGGACATTTTAGTTTTTGAGATAACTAAACCCCAGCTGAAAACTAATGATGACTATTCACTGCTTAGAAATATTACTGCCTGATGAGTGCCTCAAGGACACTGAAGAGGGGATTTTGTCGTTGAAGAGCCTATGATTCTGGAATAATCATCGTCTCTGCAATCAGTTCACACTCGAATGTAACAAGGGCTCAGAAGGGAAGAAAAGAGTAACACTGTAACTTACCATGCATGTCGTAGCGGGCGACAAAGCAATGTTGGCTTGAGAGTGGTTGTACACTTCCGTATAAAACATTCAGAAGACAGAGAAGAAGAAGGAAAAAAAAAGAAGACGAAGAAGAAAACGGAGAAACGATAAAGAGGAAGAAGAAGAAGAAGAAGAAGAAGAAGAAGAAGATGAAGAAGAAAAAGAAGAAGAAGAAGAAGAAGAAGAAGAAGAAGAGGAAAAAGAAATGAATGAGATAGATGTGGGTCCAGATTTTACAATTTAAAATCTTCCGGTAGACTTGTGCACCAGGTAGACTTGTTGTGCACCAGGTAGACTTATTGTGCACCGGGTAGACTTCTGCACCAGGTAGACTTGTGATTAGGTAGACTTGTTGTGCACCGGGTAGACTTATTGTGCACCGGGTAGACTTCTGCACCAGACAGACTTGTGTAGCAGGTAGACTTGTTGTGCACCAGGCAAACTTGTTGCGCACCAGGTAGACTTATTGTGCACCGGGTAGACTTCTGCACCAGACAGACTTGCGTAGCAGGTAGACTTGTTGTGCACCAGGTAGACTTATTGTGCACTGGGTAGACTTCTGCACCAGACAGACTTGCGTAGCAGGTAGACTTGTTGTGCACCAGGCAGACTTGTTGTGCACCAGGTAGACTTGTGCACCAGCTAGACTTGTTGTGTACCAGGTAGACTTGTGTACCAGGTAGACTTATGCACCAGGTAGACTTGTTGTGCACCAGGTAGACTTGTTGTGCACCATGTAGACTTGTTATGCACCAGGTAGATTTGTTGTGCACTAGGTAGACTTGTTGTGCACAAGGTAGACATGTGCAGCAGGTAGACTTGTTGTGCACCAGGTAGACTTGTCGTGCACCAGGTAGACTTGTGCACCAGGTAGACTTGTGCACTAGGTATATTTGTGCACCAGGTAGACTTGTGATTATGTAGACTTGTTGTGCACCGGGTAGACTTGTGCACCAGGTAGACTTGTGCACCAGGTAGACTTGTGCACCAGGTAGACTTGTTGTGCACCAGGTAGACTTGTGCACCAGGTAGACTTGTGCACCAGGTAGACTTGTGCACCAGGTAGACTTGCAGGCATTAAAATTAGCTATCTTTTTTTGTGGTTACAAATGTGTAGCTCACACCATTCAAATGTAAGAGGACATGATTCAACTCTTCAGCGCGTCTTTCTTCCTGGCAGAAGATGCTGACCAGCGAGCCATTGTCTCCCAGCTGATGGCCAGGCGGCGCACAGCCAAGATGTTGGTCGTTGTGGTTGTTGTGTTCTTTCTGTGCTTTCTACCTAACTACATCTGGAACGTTCTCAGGTAAGTCATGTGTGTATGTGAGTGTGTGAGTGTGTGTGTGTGTGTTTGTGTGTGTTTGTGGGAATGTAATTGACTCTGTGAGTGCGAGTGTGTGAGAGTGATTTTGAGAGTATATGTGTGTTTGAGTGTGTGCGAGTGTGTGTGAGTGTTTGTGTGTGCTGACGTTTGTGTGTGTGTGTCCATGTCAAGATATTTAGGTGTGTGCTCGTTACACATCCTCGGGTCTGTGCAGGCATGACCAGAGTACGCTGCTTTGAAAAATTAACAGAATAAGGTAAAGCGGGAACCCCACCCAACCCCCCCCCCCCCCCCATTCTCCAGACTTGAGTGTACATGGGTTCCCCAAGGAGAGATGTCGACGAAGGATCGGTCGGTACAAGCCTCGCGTCTGGTACATCAGCACTTTTGAATCTTGCCACTTGAAAAGTCTAGCTGCAGTTTTCTTTTCTTGCGTCTTCTATTCAGAAGCTCTCGCCATCTTTGACTTAGGCGTTGCGAGCGCGCTTGGTAACTCTGAAGCATCGAGTTCGATCCTAGCTGCGGCCGATTTGGCAGCAGACCGCCTTTTTTATGTGATATCTAGAGCCAACCGCTCAGGGCTATGACAAACGTATTACACCCAAAATTGTCTAATAAAACCACAACAGAAAAAAAAGATGTTGGGGTTGGTTCTGAAACACCATGTAAAAGATACGCAACTAACCTCTAAACTTAAAACTGAATAACGTATTGATTCAGTATGCCATGCGTTCGAGTCTCAACAGGTGTATAGTAATGCGAGCTGCCAGATCATCTTGTCATTATTAGGTAACAGGACATGATCTGTGTTTTGAGACTCTGGAAAAGGTCAGCCACAACATACATCGGGTGTCGATTTGTCTATAGATATCAAAGACCAGCTTCATATACTCATTAGGTCGCATTATGTCTCTTTACATGTTAAGCATTTTAATATTTGGAGCCGCGTTTGCACAGTCGATAGGAGGCTCGCTTTCAAATCCAGCTGCGACTCGCTGCAGCCACGGTTGGTGTTCCTCTAGGAAATGGGTATCAGAGTGACACTCTGGGGTAAATGGAGGAACGTCGCTGTAGCTACAGAGTTAGATGCGGACGGCGACACAGGCGGACAGTTTCTTATCAGCTGTCCGTACTGGTGGCAGAGCACTTATAGTTTATAACCGTGTGCGATGACGCTTGTTCACATCTCCCGACTTTACCTTTTTGCAGACATCCTAGAAGTCGAAATTTGATGACTGTTTTTTTTCAGACATTCTAGAAGTGTCCACTTGTTCACACTTGTATACTGTTTTCTTTCCGACATTCTAAAGGTATCAGCCTGTCCACAATTGTTGACTGTTTTTTTTTTTTCTTCAGACATTATAGAAGTGTTCACTTGTACTAAATTGTTGACTGCCCGCCCCAACCCCTGACATTCTAGCAGTGTAAACTTGCCCAAAATGGTTGAGTGTTTTCTTTCAGATATTCTAGAAGTGTCAACTTCTCCAAACTTGTGGTCTGCTTTTCCCCACAGACATTCTAGAAGTGTCAACTTCTCCAAACTTGTGGTCTGCTTTTTCCCCACAGACATTCTAGAAGTGTCAACTTGTCATCTAAACGAGTCAGGTCTGCTTTTTCCCTCACAGACAGTTCTAGTCTACGCAAAACAGTTGTACCAACCCAGTCATATACGACTTCAGTGTCTGCTATAACACCATCACACGAGTGCTGGTTACACGCAAACAACGGTACCAACCCAGTCATATACAACTTTATGTCTGGTAAGTCCATTACACGACTGTATTTACAGAAACAACGGTACCAACCTAGCCATGTTTAACTTTATGTCTGGTAAATCCATCACACGACTGTATTTACAGAAACAACGGTACCAACCGGTTATTAATAACTTTATGTCTGGTAAATCCACCACACGACTGTATTTACAAAAACAACGGTACCAACCGGTCATTTATAACTTTATGTCTGGTAAATCCATCACACGACTGTATTTACAGAAACAACGGTACCAACCGGTCATTAATAACTTTATGTCTGGTAAGTCCATCACACGACTGTATTTACAGAAACAACGATACCAACTCGGTCATTTATAACTTTATGTCTAGTAAATCCATCATACGACTGTATTTACAGAAACAACGGTACCAACCTAGCCATGTTTAACTTTATGTCTGGTAAATCCATCACACGACTGTATTTACAGAAACAACGGTACCAACCTAGCCATGTTTAACTTTATGTCTGGTAAATCCATCACACGACTGTATTTACAAAAACAACGGTACCAACCGGTCATTTATAACTTTATGTCTGGTAAATCCATCACACGACTGTATTTACAGAAACAACGGTACCAACCGGTCATTTATAACTTTATGTCTGGTAAGTCAATCACACGACTGTATTTACAGAAACAACGGTACCAACCGGTCATTTATAACTTTATGTCTGGTAAATCCATCACACGACTGTATTTACGGAAACAACGGTACCAACTCGGTCATTTATAACTTTATGTCTAGTAAATCCATCACACGACTGTATTTACAGAAACAACAGTAGCAACCGGTCATTTATAACTTTATGTCGGGTAAATCCATCACACGACTGTATTTACAGAAACAACGGTACCAACCGGTCATTTATAACTTTATGTTTGGTAAGTTTATGACAGGATAGTTGTCACACAAACACCTGTACTAATCCAATCATTATAATGTTATGTCTGGTAAGTCCAGGACAAGATTATTATCACAGAAACACCTGTACCAATCCAATCATTTACACTCATTTATCTGGTACGTATTTCATGGAAGCCAAGGAAACGCATGAATAATCTCTGTTGCTGCGAATGTCCGTGGTTCGAGTTCGCACGGGGACGGACATTTCTTTTGAAAATTATTTTGGTTTACTGGTCGATAAAGCATGAAAACTTGTAAGCATGAAAACTTGTTAGATTATGCTCTGGAGGTCGTTGCTAGAGCTAAGGTGTTCGCGCCTTCTGTGTTGAGAAACTGAGCAGTACGGAATGAAAGACAGGACAATAAAGTCAATCTTCTAGTCTATGTGCCTCGAAACCGTGTTAAGGTTAGGGCTAGTGGAGTTAAACAACCAAGTAAATGATCGAATCCACGGATAAGTAAGTAAATAAATTCTACCCCACCAGGGCATCACACAGAACGAGAAACAGCCGGTGACACTAAGTGCCACCATGCGGATGAGGATCACACGTGGAGAGGTTCCAGAAACAGCGTTCAGCCGTCAAGCTATATTACGGATCCCGGCCAAAGCTAGGGTGGGGCTTCAATATAGCGAAAAATTGCGTCCCACATGAGGACGAAGATGTCCAATGAAAAACCATCTTTGCACCTAAATCCATCACCCAAGCTACCCGAGAAGCGCAAGACAAATACAGAAAACCACTACACTGAGTAACAACCTGGTATCACTGAGACGACAAAATAAAAAGTTCGTGGTATATTATTCTTCTTTTTCTTCAGCGATCTCTGGTCATGCGCATAATTCACTGTGGGTCATAAACTGGGATGTCATTTCAAGGTCTCTTAGGTTTCCCCAAAGCTTAGTTGTCAGTTCTACTATATGTTGCTCCGCAGCTCCGCCAGGAGGGGACAGTCTTGCAGGACATGTTCTGAGTCTGTTCAGCACGAAGGCACTGGCAGAAAGCTGTTTGGCTCATACCTAATCTAAATGAGTGTTTATTGGGTCTGCAGTGTCCAGTACGTAAGCGAAAAACTGTGACTTGGTCTGTCCTGTTCAAGTGTTTCAGAAAATCTTTTCCGTAGTTATAACCAGTGTTGGTTTTCCAATCTGTTTCTGATTTTCTCTTAATGAGAGTTTTGACTTCTGGAACAGATAGTGGCTGGTAGGTCTGTGGTTTGTTACTGCCTTCCTTTTCTAAAGCATCAGCGCTTTCATTGCCTTTGATGCCACAGTGAGATGGAATCCACTGCAAGTGAATTTCTGCCTTTTTTGACAAATAGTATATTAGGAATCTTTAGCTTGTTTGGTGAAATTTAAAACATAGTCATAAATCCGATACACTGTCATCATGTTTCTGTTATATAATCCCACCAGGCAAATTCCGCAAAGAGTTCCGGTCTGCATGCGTCTGTTGTTCCAGATGTTGTCGGACAGAGAAACCTTCTCGAAGTCACGTTCGTAAGTCTTTAGCTGTTGTTCTTCAAGTCTTCATCTGCAGCCTGTTCTATATTTTCCAGTAGCTGTCATTTAACCACAAGTGTCTGAAGAAAATGATGAGCATAAAATGGGATGGATTCAACAAGTGTGAAGAAATAAGAGAAATGTCATTGCAACTACTAGTTTCAACAGTTTTAAGACAGAGAAAAAGGCGCGAAAATGATTACATCGTGAGAAGAGACGAGCAGAGAATTACCAAACAAGAAGTTAAATGGGAAATATAAGGACTGAAGAGAAATCCTAAATCGAACGTTGATGAGAGAGACTAAAGCTGCCGGACTGGATTCTATCCATGATATCCAAGTGTTTATATAGGATAAAAGGGAAAGGAGAAATAGACTGGGAGGCTTATGTGTCATTTAATGGCACAATAGGACAATGAACGATTGAATGGATCATTAAATGAATGAAGAACTGAATGGGTGAAAAAATGAATGTATGAATGAATAAATGAATTAATAAATATAATTTGATCTGTCAGACAGGTGCCGATAAACCGTGGCTCCAATAGATCTACAACATGCTCTGGAATTGCTTCTGGATGTAGACTTTCTCAGACTGTTGTTCATTAAATTCTTCATGCTAGGCTTCCATTTGTCATCATCAAGTTCCTTGCCGACTGGCGTAGGCGACCACGCCTCTCCACAACCTGCTTTTTGCAACTGCGTTAATCAGTTCGTGCGTTGACACCCCTCCATGCCATGATAAAAGACTGTTAAGAATCTTC